TACATTTTAGTCCTTCTCAGAGAGTCATACAGGGGACACATAAATACCACAAGGTCATACAGAGGGATACAGGAATATTTTGTACATTTTAGTCTATCTCAGAGAGTCATACAGTCATACAGGGGACACACAATACCACAAGTGTCATACAGAAGGATACAGGAATATTTTGACCATTTTAGTCCATCTCAGAGAGTCATACAGTCATACAGGGGACACATAATACCACCAAGGGTCATACAGAGGGATACAGGAATATTTTGTCCATTTTAGTCTATCTCAGAGAGTCATACAGTCATACAGGGGACACATAATACCACAAGGGTCATACAGAGGGATACAGGAATATTTTGTACATTTTAGTCTATCTCAGAGAGTCATACAGGGGACAGATAATACCACAAGGGTCATACAGAGGATACAGGAATATTTTGATTATTTTAGTCCATCTCAGAGAGTCATACAGTCATACAGGGACACATAATACCAATAAGGGTCATACAGAGGGATACAGGAATATTTTGTCACTTTTAGTCTATCTCAGATAGTCATACAGTCAGTTACAGGGGATCACATAATACCACAAGAGTCATAACAGAGGGATACAGGAATATTTTGTGCTCCATTTTAGTCCATCTCAGAGAGTCATACAGTCATACAGGGACACATAATACCACAAGGTATCGTCATACAGGGATACAGAAATACTTTTGTACAGATATTTTAGTCCATCTCAGAGAGTCATACAGTCATACAGGGGACACATAATACCACAAGGGTCATACAGAGGGATACAGGAATATACTTGTCGCTATTTAGTCTCATTGCAGAAGATCATAGGATACTAGGAGAGACACAAAATGTGACCACATACAGATAACATACATGCGCAGTGCGATTAGCTCAGAATCACCCCTGATTTTTATAACACTCTTTAGTGGTTCTAGTGCTCAGTAATTATCAGTACTAGTCCATCCGAGTGGGACAATCGAATCCTACATCTCCCGACATATGGAGGTCAACAGAAAGAAGATCACAGTGTGTAAATTCGATATATTGTACCTATCCTCATGTATCTATTCTCAGAGAGCATACAGGGCGACACCTCCTAGGTGATAACTTCGACACAATCTTCGTCAACAGTGGTGGGGTATTATGTGTCCTTATGACTGGGAGACTCCGATTTCCTAGGAAAGGGGAATATTTGTTAGATACCATTAAGTAACAATAGTTCTTATCTCAGATAGTCATACAGTCCATACAGGGGACACATAATACCACAAGGGTCATTACAGAGGGATACAGGATTGTTTTGTAACATTTTAGTCCATCTCAGAGAGTCATATCAGTCATACAGGGGACACATAATACCACAAGGGTCATAACAGAGGGATACAGGAATATTTTGTACAATTTTAGTCTATCTCAGAGAGTCATACAGTCATACAGGGGACACATAATACCACAAGGGTCATACAGAGGGATACAGGAATATTTTGTCCATTTTAGTCCATCTCAGAGAGTCATACAGTCATACAGGGGACACATAATACCACAAGGGTCATACGGAGGGATACAGGAATATTTTGACCATTTTAGAATATACTTGGTTTTCGTTTGGGGTGGGGGTTCTTTAAATTTCGGTCCATTTCAAATGGTCTTACAGGTTATTCAAAATAATTCCATGAATAAGACCGAAGGATAGAGTAAAAACATTATCATTACCATTAATGTTTAGTGTTCAGTTCAACATCCTGGAGACAATTATATAAAAAAAAAAAAACAAATTCTGTAGATATTTCATATGTGTTATTATTAACAGTTATATATACACTTGATTAAATCAAACAACATATAACAACTTGAACTTGAAAAATGGTTTGTGCAAACAAATTTTCAACTACCATAAATATTTTTATAACATTTGAAATTTTGGCTGCATGCAGGGGCATTCATCATCTTACAAAATGTTTCTAGTTAAAAATGTATTTAATTTCGATATTTCTTATTAAAAGAGACAGAGTACCTTGAGAGTACTAGAATAATTTCCCAAACTTAAATTAATTTTGCTTTACATACTCAAAGAACATAATAAACTCCTGCATGACATTGGAAATGATTATGTAATTTGAATTAGATGATGTTGACAAAAATATATAGACTTAACACTCTGTTGATTAATGCAAATTAACTTGGGGGTAAAAATATATAGACACTCCCTGTTGATTAATGCATATTAACTTGGGGGTAAACAGGATGGCATACTGTTTATTCTGTATAGCACAGCTGTCAAAACAAACCAATCAAGGATGATTGGTGGCACTGATTTGTGACCATATATAATTATGTTATGGTGTGTGTAATCGCCCCTTAGTTTTTGAGTCTTGACTTAAATCCAAAGCTCCTTGTCAGTTTAAATTTAATTTTACAACATGTTTACCATATATGATAAAATATACAAAATTTGCATTCTAATATTATATTAATTAATTTGTTACAAATCATAATATGAAATTTGATAAGATATAGAAGATTTTACATTAAATCATCTGAAAAGTTAGCTAAGTTGATGTAAATTAGTAAAGTTTTGTAGCATTATGAATGTTCATCACAGCTCTAAAATACACTATTAGGAAGAAAATTTAGGGAAAATTTTAAAAAGTTGGTGCATTTATTAGCTGAAATGATAATATTCGCAGAATTGAAAGAGAATTTTTTTATATATAATTTCACTGTCAGTTATTGTTGAAAAATCTGTTAGCTGATCGGAAAGAGGCAGTACGGGGATATACAAAATGTCAGCAACAAATGCTGAAGTTTTGGATATTCTATCATTCACTTTGCAAATGATTATAGCTGGTATATGAGGTTAGGCATTGCTTTCTTGACCCCCAAATTTCAACGTCAACATTCTTGAAATAGACATTAAAATATTACTATTTACGGAGGGTGAAATAAATTTATTCACTTATTTTTAGAAGAAACATACATTTATTGTTGATAAAAAAGTGACAGACAACCACTGAACAAAGAAAATACTAAATTAAACATTTTCGGGGCCGTCCGGGTTTGGTGGTTGTCCGGTTTTGGTGGTCCCCAACCAGTAGATATTGTTGTTATTTATGTTAACTTACCGCATGTTTGCATGAATTCGATGGTTAATTCGTCCTAATCAAAGGTGCTAGTGGCATTGATTTGACCTAAAATGTATTTAACCTTGTTATTTATGCACTAAAACATCAATATATAAAAAAGAAAAATTAAAAAAAAAAAATTTTTCACTGTTATATTATTATAGATAAGGTATGCAACATTCAGGTACGAAAATTATGGGTACGCCGGTTATCTGTTGTTAAAAATTTTTCACCCGGGCGGTAATATCGTCGGATTTTTTGCTGGAATCAATGCCACAGTCAATATATTTTTCTATTACAATTTACTATTTATAGATCCCCAATTAAACGCTAGTTAATGTTATAAAGCCCGAAAGTAAGAAATCACCCATGTCCGAAAGATGAGACTGTCACGACATGTACATTGTAACCTGGTATTTACGCTTGAAATACATAAACAAAAAGATCTAACGGGTCGAACACACATGCAAACAACTGGATTTTTCATAATTATAAATGGTTTTATCCTCCACGAGTCGAACTTAGTCCTATGAGCCTGTATTTAAAGAAATATTCAAGAAATTAATAGATCTACTGTGGCAATCATCTGTAAACATCTGCAGTTTACTTTTGTCGATTTTTGAGTCATTTCGGCCCAAAGACGTTTCGGCCCCTGACAAATGCAATCTTGTTAAGTTTTTCTTTTGTGAATGCAAGTTGTCTATCCTGCTTCAGAACTTATCTTTGTGCATTACGCAATGCATGAAGATTTTTTTTGCAGTTTCGTCTTTCTAATAATATTCCGCACTGAAAAATGGCCAATTCTTCTCTCAATATCTTCAATTGATCTTTCTGCTCTTGTATTTTCTTAGATATTGATATGCTTTGCTTTTGTAGCTTAGAATTTTCATACTTAAGTAAGTTTGTTGCCTTACTCAGATTGCTATTATCCGAGGCACCTGTCTGGGTAGAGACTGTTTTGCATGATAGTTTGTCACTCACAGATATTTTTTTAATCATTGTCAGAATTATCATTAACTGATGCAAGAGATTTAATTTCTCCAACAACTTTCACAGTGGGTGGACTAAAGGACTAAAGTCACTGACATTTTTCACATCAATCACCTTTTTCTTATGAGATAATTTCTTCTTTTGATCACATATCCATGCAGGGCTCACACTGGCTCAAAGAAAATAATAGCCAATATTTTTAACTTAAAAAAATAATAGCCAAAAGTTCAGCGGACTATTCACAATTTAGCGATTAACAACATACTGGTTTGGGAGATAAACTCGGCCGAAAATCTGTGTTTTTGGGGCATATTTCATTTATTTGTTTACGTATTCTGATGAATCTTAATTGCACCATAATAAACTTCAGCTCTTCGATATTCCGGTATCACCATAAAAGTTATATGTAGAAACAAAACGGGTAATTTTGAGAGGCCCTGGAAGAGGTACATAAAAACACGGATTTATATTACAAGGATCGGACACTTTCCTTTAGCTTAAAGTCTCGTCGCGCGCATGTTTTGTTCAAACATTTATTTGTTTGCTTTTAGAAAAGGTTAAAAGTTGAGCGTTGCCCCCGCCCGGCCGTGGCTGTTGTTATGTTTGACTATGATACAAAAGAGAAAGAACATCAAAACACTCGGCAATCTGATTGCCCTCTCGTACAAATCAGATAGCCTCGTATTTCAATGCTCTTTCTATTACATAAAAGCTTATTTTTTCTTGATAATGCATAGGAAATTTATTGTGTATGAATAACTTAAATGAAAGAGTGTAGGTGAAATATATATATTTGTAAAGTTTTGCTCATTTATTGATTTTGGTCCTTAAGATCAATTTGAATTTAACTTTATAGTCTGTTGTATTTTATTCCAGATACATTGTATTTAAAAGAGACGTATCCCCAGTGGATTGGTATATAAGGAACTCTTTTTGAGGACAAGCCCTACATACTGGGACCCTTAACTCTATTTTGCTTGGAACATGGCTGAATCAGAACTTATGTAAGTTTAGTGGCTTCCCATTTACTTAGTAGAGAAAACAAAAATAACATGAAAAGTAATAAATAAAAGTTCATGTAATTGCTATGGCAACAAAGAGACAAAGAATTTAGTGAAGATGCATGTGTTTTGGAATAGGGACTTGGCATATAAAACAAGATATTTTTCATGAATATAAATTATGTTTCAGTGAAGACGAAAAAGAATCTTATTTATTTCATGTTGTTGCTTTTTTGTCTGATAAATGTGTAAACATGATATGACTGATAATTTAAAAGGACTCCACTGAGGTTTTTTTGACATGACAGGACTAGAAATAGTTTTCCGAGATTTGTTTACAATTTGAAGTAAGTCGGGACCAATAACTTGTGCGCAATTTTTTCAAATCAATCCCTTGCTCTAAAATCATGATTTTCTGAAAATTTCATTGTGCAAAAAGACCGAAAAATAAAATGCATTGCAATGCATTTCACTCAGATTGGCCAAGAATTGCATAAAAATCAATTTTCTATTTAGTTCTGCAGTGATTTTTTCCCTGTATTTTACAGCCGAATAAAAGCTGTTTTGAATTGAAATTGAAAATTTTATTTAATGTGTGGGTAAATTCCATAATTTGATTTCCCGCTTTAATTTTTAGACTTTTTGATCTTAAAGTAGCCTTTCACAATAATTATAAGCAAGAATATTATCTATAAATTTCCTGTTAAATATTTTATATAAAAAATGTTTTTCTTTTCTATTGTTATATTACAGGAAGTTTAGAAATAGTTTACAGCCTATAGAAGGAGAGCTTCCGAAAACAAAAGAAGAGCTTGAAGAGCTTCTGAATATTGTAAAGGTAGGTTAAAGTTATTATAAAGTGATGATTTTTATTAAGATGAATTACCATGTGACCTGAAATGGTTAAGCACATGAAGTGTTTTAACAACCGTTAGTTCTGGGCCTGGTCCTATTTGTGCAGTGGTTGTTTATTGGTTTTATACTGTATTACTAAACAACATGCAAATGAAAAACAACAACAACAAATTGATATTGAAATTTTATGTTTTAGATATGATAATGAAATAAACTTACTTTAAACAACATTTCCTGATAGACTGCTGAGCCAATTTCATCCAATCTTCACAAGAATGTTCCTTATGTGGTCACCTTTAACAATTTTTCATGGCAGAACTCTGGTTGCCATGGCAACTGACAGAAAAAAAAACTTACAAAATTTTTGTTTAAAAAACCCAAAGAGCTAGAGCTTATATATTTGGCATGAAACATCTTCTAGTGAGTTTTTACCAATTTTGTTCAAATAAAAGCACTTGGGTCAAAATTGGCCCTGCTATTGGGTCATATTTTCCTTATATGTATATAGTAAAAACAAAAACAAATTTTTTTAAAAATCCCAAAGAGCTAGATCTTAGATATTTAGCATAAAACATTTTCTAGTGAGTGTCTTATCAAGTTTGTTTCAATAAAAGCCCTGGGATCAAATTGGCCCTGCTCATGGGGGTGGGGGTCACGTATGTACAGTATATATAGTGTAAAAACTTTAAAAAAATAAACCTTCTTTTAAAAATCCTAAAGAGCTAGAGCTTAGTTATTTAGTATGAAACATTTTCTAACTTTGTATTCCTTACATATTTTGTACATCTTCATTTCTGATTTTTGTAGAAATTTTCTGCAAATTTTCAGAGAAAAAAAGAAGAGGGAAAGACATTGAAAGATGACGACTTACCGGAGATAGAGAAAGCAGACGATCTTAACAAGTCGGAAGAATTCTCTGAATCAGACAAAGAGCTATATGGCAACAACTTTGAAAGCAGAGAGGGTAACTAATGTTTCTTTTGATAAAAAAGTAAAGTTCCAGAGTTCTCCATGAATATTGTTTCTCTGTAAATACTGTTGAAGAAAGCTTGTTTCCATTAAATTCATGAAATTTCATGAAAAAGCGGTTATTTTCTCCGGAAAAACAGTGGAAAATCTACAGACAGGCTTAGTTCTTTCCCAGTATTTTATGCGTGGAGCATGCTGTTTCCTCGGACAGATCTTATTTAACATTTGACTTTAAATTATTTAACACAATAGAAGTCATGATCCCTATTCAAACTATTGAATGAGACTATATATACAGCAAGTTCTAGGTTCAGTTTGATATTATTGTTTTGTATAAGTCTTGGGAATTTGAATTTACAAATATCATTTTGAGGTTGAAAATATATTTGGAAAGAGAAAAAGCTAAAATAACTAAAATAATCAGTTAATAAGCTCAAACTTATGACCTCTTTTGTTTAAAATTAATGCTTTTCAAACTGTTCTTCCAATGCAATTATGATTAAGTGCATTGCTTGTGTAAATACAGGTATATATTTCCTAATTATGATATTATGTGTTACATTATTTCTCATAAAATATTCAATATCTTATCTCAGTTAAAACTTATTTATTTCTCAACCAGTTGAGGAGGCTGCTCGGCCAACACTTGGTGCTACTCAACTAGTAGGAGAGGCTGCTCGGCCAACACTTGGTGCTACTCAACTAATAGGAGAGGATGCTTGGCCAACACTGGGTGAGGCTTAGTTCTGTCATCTTATACTGCTTCAAGTATTTTATTAGTGGAACATGCCGTTTCCTCTGACAGCTTTTATTTAAGATTTGACCTTAAATTATTTAACACAATAGAAGTCATGATGCTAATTCAAACTGTTGAATGAGACTATATATACAGCAAGTTCTAGGTTCAGATTGATATTTTATTGTTTTGTATAAATCTGCGAAATTTGAATTTACAGCTAATAACTTGCACCAATGACCTCTTTTGTTCTTCCGATGCATTTATATTCATTTGCATTGCTCGTGTAAATACAGGTACATATTTCCTAATTATGATATTGTGTGTTACAATATATCTCATAGAATATTCAATATTTTATCTCAGTTAATTCTTCTTCATTTCTCCAAATCCTGAAGAAATTTCTAAATGTGTGACTTATTTTATAAACATGTATAACTTTTCTTGTATAAAATGTTTTTCAAATTTTCCAGAAAATCCCCTCTCTGATAAAGTGTTACCCCCAAGAGAGAAACGGGTAACACGCCTCTTAAGAGAGAGTAATGTTCAACCAGCAAAAGAGGATATTCAACCAGAAAAGCGTATTCCTCAACCAGCAAGCATATTCCTCGACCAGCAGAGCATGTTTCTCAACCAGCAGATGTTCCTCAACCAGCAGAACATGCTATTCAACCAACAGAGAATGTTCCTCAACTGGCAGAATGTGTGCTTGAACCAGCAGAGCATGTTGCTCAACCGGCAGTGTGTGCCTCAACCAGCAGAGCCTATTCCTCAACTAGTAGAGCGTGTTCCTCAGCCAGCAGAGCATGTTCCTCAACCAGCAAAGCCTTGTTCTCAACTAGCAGAGCCTATTCCTCAACCAGTAGAGTGTGTTCCTCAAACAGCTGAGCATGTTCCTCAAACAGAACCTGATGCTCAACCAGCAGAACCTGATGCTCAACCAGCAGAACCTGATGCTCAACCAGTAGAACCTGATGCTCAACCAGCAGAACCTGATGCTCAACCAGCAGTCAATTTTGAGAATGTCTTTGCAGCTTTTGTTTCTGGAATAGTAGTTGGCATTTATATTGAAAGAGTCCGCAATGCTAGAGCTGGTTATGTCACTGCTATAGCTGATGCTAGCAATTCTATAACATATGTATGCAATGCTCTAGCAGGTGTTGGCACTGCTGTTGCTCGTGTTGGCATTGCTGTGGCAGGTGTTCACAATGCTAATGCTTATGTCGGAAATGTACCTTTTGTTGGCACTGCTATAGCAAGAGTTGCAAATGCTATAGCTGATGCTAGCAATTCTATAGCAGATTTATGCAATGATTTTGCTGCAGTTGGCAATGATGGAGCAGCTGATATCTAGAAACTTAAACAATACTTTTTGGAAAGATGTTGTAAAGTGTAACATTGATTGTTAGCTCACCGTTGTCCCTCCACATTTGTTCTTCAACACTCTAGTGGTCACATTTTTACCTCAATCATCATCAAACTTTGTCAGGATGCTTGTCTAGGTAATTGCTCGGATGAGTTATAAACATGGGTCATCCCGGATAAAGACTAGAGCACAGGACATAAAAATAGAAAAATCTTGTTAACACTCTAGTGGCTACTGTTATTATCCAAATATCCTGGAAATTGGTCTACATTTGTTTTGATTATTTCTAGGTCAAGTTTGAATATAGTCAAGTCTTGGGGTTTTTTTTCTGTATAAGGGTAGGTTGGGGATTATTTTTTAGCTTCTTTCTGCAGATTCATTTTTTTAAAATGCTTGTTACTTGAAAATTATACATTTGAAATATGTATTACATCTTTATACCTAAGCTTTACCTTGCTGTACTTGGAAGTGAATATCCTTTGCCACCGTTAGCTGTAGAGATGCCAGTCTGTACATTTGGCAGTCTGACCAGGCTCTAGTCTATAATGTTGGCTTACTAACTTGAAATTTTATCATGCTATCCTTTAAATTGATAATAGACTTTTCCAAATTCAAAGCAAGGCAAATCCATTAGACAAATTCAGAAGGGTAAGGATTATTTGGGTGACATTATTCAGTGTCTGGGACATTTCGTACTGTATTGATTGCTTTAATATTTGATAGTCCTTAGATGAATCAAATCTAAACAGTCCGGCAAATAATCTAAAATCAAATAAATCAAATAAAATCAAATGTTTTTGGGATACATTTGAGCATGTGTATTGTGTTTTCATGAAATGATCTTTCGTTTTGGTTTAGTAAATCTTTGGGAAACACGAAGTTTTTACAAAGGCAAGAAGGCTAGAAATTTTTTACTAAGTATTATTGATCCTTTAAGAGAGTTACATGGCGATATAAAAAAAATATACATAGACACGCACCAACCCAATACAGCAAGGTAGATTAGATTTTTTTCTGATAACAAATAATTTAAATCAGTTTGTACGTAAATGTGACATTGATGCTAGTTATAGATCTGATCATTCAATGATATATTTGGAGTTTTGTTTTGTTCCTGTTAGTCATGGAAAAGGTTTTTGGAAATGTAATAATGCTCTTTTACATGACATTGAATTCCTTGATATCCTTAATAAGAAAATAGATGAAATAAAATTGCAATATTGTTTACTTGTATGTAATATAGATTATGTTTTGGATATTGCTTTGAATTTGTAACATACGTTTACTGAAATTTTGGGTTTAAAGATAAATTTTGACAAAACAAACGTTATTTGGATAGGTTCTCTTAAATATAGTACTAGATCAATTAAGACAAGGTGGAAACTAACATGGGGTGACACACAGTTTAAAATTAAGGATAAACTTTTGATGTTATTTTAGAAAAAAATATTGATCTGAATTTTGATGAAAAGCAGCAGAAAGTAAAAAAATGGTATTAGTCATTGGGAAATAAAGGGAATTAACTCCACTAGGAAAAATCACTGTTGTTTAGTCAATATTGCTTTCTTTTTTTAATCATTGTTTTACAAGCCTACCTACACCTAATACTGCTTTTTTGAGAGAGACACTTAATGACTTATTTTATGATTTTATATGGGAAGGTAAGGCAAAAGTCTGTAATCATTATAACATACAAAGAAGGTGGACTTTACATGGTAGATGTTAGTAGTCATGTTCATTCTTTAATAATAAAATGGTTTAAAAGATATGTAAGTAATTGTGATAGTAAATGTTATAACTCATTGTTTATTGATAAAGTTTTTAATTCTGGAAAAATGTTTTGTATATTAATTAATTATGCCCCCATTTCGAAGAAAAGGGGGTATATTGCTTTGCACTTGTCGGTCCGTCGGTCCGTCGGTCTGTCGGTCCGTCGGTCCGTAGACCAAATGGTTTCCGAGTGATAACTAAAGAACCCTTAAGCCTAGGAACTTCAAACTTGGTATGGTGATTGGTCATGACCAGTAGATGACCCCTATTGATTTTGGGGTCAAGGGGTCAAAGGTCAAGGTCACATTGACCTTGAAAGCAAAAACGGTTTCCGATCAATAACTAAAGAACCTTAAGGCCTAGGAACTTCAAACTTGGTATGGTGATTGGTCATGACCAGTAGATGACCCCTATTGATTTTGGGTCAAGGGGTCAAAGGTCAAGGTCACATTGACCTTGAAAGCAAAAAACGGTTTCCGATCAATAACTAAAGAACCTTAAGGCCTAGGAACTTCAAACTTGGTATGGTGATTGGTCATGACCAGTAGATGACCCCTATTGATTTTGGGGTCAAGGGGTCAAAGGTCAAGGTCACATTGACCTTGAAAGCAAAAACGGTTTCCAATCAATAACTAAAGAACCTTAAGGCCTAGGAACTTCAAACTTGGTATGGTGATTGGTCATGATCAGTAGATGACCCCTATTGATTTTGGGGTCAAGGGGTCAAAGGTCAAGGTCACATTGACCTTGTAAGCAAAAACGGTTTCCGATCAATAACTAAAGAACCTTAAGGCCTAGGAACTTCAAACTTGGTATGATGATTGGTCATGATCAGTAGATGACCCCTATTGATTTTGGGGTCAAGGGGTCAAAGGTCAAGGTCACATTGACCTTGAAAGCAAAAACGGTTTCCGATCAATAACTAAAGAACCTTAAGGCCTAGGAACTTCAACTTGGTATGGTGATTGGACATGATCAGTAGATGACCCCTATTGATTTTGGGGTCAAGGGGTCAAAGGTCAAGGTCACATTGACCTTGTAGGTAAAAACGGTTTCCAATCAATAACTTAAGAACCTTAAGGCCTAGGAACTTCAAACTTGGTATGGTGATTGGTTATGACCAATCAGATAACCCCTATTGATTTTGGGGTTAAGAGGTCAAAGGTCAAGGTCACATTGACCTTGTAGGTAAAAACGGTTTCCGATCAATAATGAAAGAAACCTTAGGCCTAGGGACTTCAAACTTGAGATGGTGATTGGTCATGACCAGTAGATGACCCCTATTGATTTTGGGGTTAAGGGGTAAAGGCAAGGTCACATTGACCTTGTAGGTAAAAATGCTTTCCGATCAATAACTTAAGAACCCTTATGCCTAGGAACTTCAAACTTGGTATGGTGATTGGTCATGACCAGCAGATGACCTATTGATTTTGGGGTCAAGGGGTCAAAGGTCAAGGTCACATTGACCTTGTAGGTAAAAACGGTTTCCGATCAATTAACTAAAAACGCTTAGGCCTAGGAACTTCAACCTTTGTGTGATGATTGGTCATGACCAGCAGATGACCCCTATTGAGTTTTAGGTGAAGGGGTCAAAGGTCAAGGTCACATTGACCTTTTAAGTAAAAACGGTTTCTGATCAATAACTCAAGAACACTTAGGCCTAGGAACTTCAAACTTGGTATGGTGATTTGTCATGACCAGCAGATTACTCCTATTGATTTTGGGATTAAGGGGTCAAAGGTCAAGGTCACAATGACCTTGTAAGTAAAAACGGTTTCTGATCAATAATTAAAGAACGCTTCGGCCTAGGAACTTCAAACTTGGCATGGTGATTGGTCATGACCAGCAGATGACCCTATTGATTTTGGGGTCAAAGGTCAAGGTCTATTGACCTTGTATGTTAAAACGGTTTCCGATCAATAATAAGAGAACCCTTAGGCCTAGGAACTTCAACCTAGGCATGGTGATTGGTCATGACCAGCAGATGACCCCTATTGATTTTGGGGTCAAGGGGTCAAAGGTCAAGGTCACATTGACCTTGTAGGTAAAAACGGTTTCTGATCAATTTACTAAAAACGCCTAGGCCTAGGAACTTCAAACTTTGTATGATGATTGGTCGTGACCAGCAGATGACCCCTATTGAGTTTTGGGTCAAGAGGTCAAAGGTCAAGGTCATTACCAGTAGATACTTTATAACCCTTATTAATTGTTTGATCACTGGGTCAGAAGTCATGCATAATAACCTTATCACATGACTAATTGGCTGCTGATAGGGGGCATACATGTTTTACAAACATATCTTGTTATAAGATTAAAATGCTTTCATGATTGATGTTTTAAAAGTTTATATGACCTTTGTTGATAAACTTTGTATAGATAGTTTGGAACAAATGTTACATATGCCACTGGTTTATAACCATTGCTTTTCAATAGGATATACATGTAGATATTTTTACATTAAATCTTTTTATGATGAAGGAATCAGATTTGTGAAAGATATTCTTATTGAACAAAATGATTTTATTGAATTAAATCTTTTAGAACAGTGTATAGGCAAACAAGTTATTTTTTTAGACTATCATGGTTTAAAACAAGCTATAAAGTCATACATGCTTAAGCTAAATTTTGCCATCAATACTGATTTGCTAAATGTTCAATATCCTATTTTAAGCTGTTATATCAAACCTATTATTATTATTCTTTTCCTGTTTGACCGATAAATACTGCAACCGTTTTCATTTGCACAATACTTAATAAGTAACTATTAATTTACCTGCTGTTATGTTATGTTGCTGTTATCATATGTACGGAAAAGTATGCGGTGTTTGAATTCAGTGTTGTACGGTACTCCAATATTCGAGTCAATAGGCCTTTTTACAACATATATTCCCTAAAATTTAAAATAGAAACACACAATTTTGTATGGACCTTGAATTTATGCCTAACCATAATATATACACGAGCTCGTAAGGTAATAGAACAAATACAGCGTTGTTTTAACACATGTTTTTGTGACAAGTACGAGTCATGTTGAGGTAGACACGATCTTTTGTAAACACTATTTCTTCGAAGTATGTAATTTTTGGTAAATTGTGTTGTGCTAGATTAACAATAAATTGTTTCAAAAATTCGATGGAGTACTTAAACAATTGGAATGATTTTGCAATGTCCAGCAGTAAGATATTTTGTAAGCTATTATCTGCAATTTGGTTATCCCGCCATTAATATTTTGTCCAGAAATATACGGTGTCTCGGTCAGAAGTAAGATATTTTGACGTTGCGCGGAAAAGTTGTGGTAAACGCCCTATCACCGTGGTGTAGGGAACTTTCATAAACCCCATGTTAATAGTTTTACATTTTACCAGGGTATTAGGGATTGGAACATGCTCCCACTTGATATTAAAAAGGAAAGTAACTTTTTATTAACTTTAAAAAGAAAGTAAAAGCAGAACTAAGCAAAAATATGAAACAATTTGAACAAGCTGATTTTATTTTTTATTAATTTTAGAGATAATTGTTTTAATCAATATAGTATGTTTTATATAAATGTAATAGTATCTTGTGATTGGTTTTGTGATATATATAAATAGATATCTTTCATTGGTGTTATAACTAGTCATATTCATAGTATTATTCCTGCAATATGTGATATATGTAATTAACATAATGTGCAATAGAAATTAATATTATTTGATCTTAGAAATTTAACATCAGTCCAGTATATCATCTCTAAGTATGGACCTGAATGCCAGTTCTCAAGAAAATATATTTTTTACCATCAAAGGACCCCTTCTCTATTTTATATTGAACTTTCATGGGTTACCCTGTGTTGTATATATTGTCTTGAAGTCAACAATATCTTTGATTTAATTATGAAATGTAAAGTTATTATTTTTCAATTACTTACTGTGTTAAAAATAATGTGATAGATATATCTGTGATAAAAATTGTCTTAATTTGTTTTGTAATATGACATATATATATACACAAATAAATCAATTAATAAGAGGCTGTGTTACTTGAATATATATAAGGAGGGTTTTTGTTTATTTTGGTTGGTATTTTTGGAGAGGGAACGGATTTGAGTAAGGGACAGTTTAGTGGTATAGAAAAGTAGGTTGTCTGTATTAAATATTACCAGTAATCATTTTCATGAGATAAATGAATATTTGAGCCATGTCACGACAAAACCAACATTATGGGTTTGCGACCAGCATGGATCCAGACCAGCCTGCGCATCCGCGCAGTCTGATCAGGATCCATGATGTTAGCTTACAAACCCTATAGCAAGTAGAGAAACTGCATGATAGCGAACAGCATGAATCCTGATCAGACTGTGCGGATGCGCAGGCTGGTCTGGATCCATGCTGATCGCAAACCCATTATGTTGGTTTTGTCGTGACCAGCTCATTTCTTTAATGATTATAAGAAAAAAAAAGACAGGTTTTTTTTTAATTGGATTTATTGTAAATTCTGGTCATTTTTCGTTTAAAATATTGTTGCTCTTGTCTGTATTCTGTATTATCTTAAGTAATGGTAAATTTAGATCAGATTGAAAGTTGTTTTTTTTTCTCCAAAAAAAACTTTTTTTTATAAAACAAAAACGTGGCAGAAAAAAGAAATTCAAAAACAATATTTTACAGCCATTTTGTGCTTCTCTATTAAGGAGGTTAACATAATGCATAAAAGTAACAAAATAACTCTGTAAAGGGGTGTGTGTAATTTTACTGAATTAATTATATTTCTATCTTATCAATTTCAAAACCTGAACATGTCTTTAGTTATAAATAAGCTGGCCATTCGCATTGCGTATAGTACATGTAAATTAATAATGTATATGATTACCTCCCTTTAAGTAATAACGTAGCAAATTATTATGAAATTACAATCATGACTGTAATTTGAGACATATAATACAGATTCCTTGATTTTATCAGAATCAGGATTGAATTTGTGCATAATTTAGAATTGGAACGCCCAGCCTATTTAGTTTAATATAGGTGTGCAAGATTTGTATTTGTGTATATATAGCTACATGGTTTTCCTCAATGTTTAATTGTGATATAAGATACTCATCTTGTTGTTTTGTAATGTTTTATTTTATTTGGTATGCAAATTGGTTGTACATGTACCATTTTTGAATAAACATCTTTATTGTAAATTACGTTTTGTTGTGGATTTATTGTTTAAAGAAGCCATTTCGGATATTGAGCCATTTCGGACACCTCCACATTTCCTCAGCACCTATTATAATCATACTTGCGTCATACTTGCATGGTCCCTCTTTACATTTTTAAGAATATTCAGGTTGGCCACTGATACCGGCAAGTTCTTAGCACGGCGCACAAGCGTGTATAGGAAATAAGTAAATATCACCACGCCATTTGTGCATCCAAAACTATATGATGTTTACAAGTGCTTGAGGGCCAAAAGTTAATTAAGGATTCTGTTGTAGGACCACTAGATGATGTTACATACCAAATGTCAAAAAACACAAGGCCTACAACTTTGATATTTGGTGTGTAACATTATCTAGTGGTCCTCTACAACGATAGTTCAAATAATGCCCCTAGGATAAATAGAGGTTCTGCCAGGTGGCTTATCGGTTTCATGTAAAGTAATACAGAGAAAACCTTGTCAAAATCAAGAAGGCGCAGTGCCTTGATACTTGGTATGTAATATGATCTAGTGGTATTCTACAAAGATTATTCAAATTATGTCCCGAGGATGTTAAAGGGGCTGCCAGGAGGTTTATCGATTTAATAGAAAAAAATATTTAAAATCTACTTGTCAAAAACTATAAGACCAAAAGGTTTATTCAACTAAACAGTGTAATTGTGTCGTCTGCAAAAATTTTGCTCTATTAATAGTGTCATTCGCTGTTCTTTCTTGTGTCGTTAACTTATCATTCAGATACAACATAATACTTAACTTTTTGCCCTCAAACTCAAACATCATTTAGTTTAGGATTCACAAATGTCGTTCATGATAATCTTTACTTTTTTCCTATGTACGTTTATGTACGCTTGTGCGTCGTGCTAAGAACTGGCTCAACTGCTGGTGCATCAAATTTCAGTTTGACTATAGTAACGCAACGATGATTGAATGAATTGTATCATCTGGAAACGAAGATTGTCAGCTTCAGAACTAATGCAAAATTCTGCAATCTGGCGCGGCCAATGTCGCTTAATTCACAGGTCATTTCAGAACAGTTTTTGATGGAATTACAACGTTAGATATTTAAAGAAAGCGTAAATAAACCGTGGTGGATTTAATGGGATATAATAGACCGAAAATGAAAATAAACATGCGTATCTCTTTTATATAAAAGAAAATACTTACTAAGCAAGTGCTTTTACATAAAATAAAAGCCCCAGTAACAATAACACCCCCACGCCCTTGTTGTTGAAGCTTAATGAGGATCCATCCGCCCTTTCAGGCACTAAGAGTACGTCACCAGTCATGCCCTTAATTAAAAGTATGTTAAAATCGAAAGTGGTGACCTATTTGATTGACATTCAGTAGTTCACTGAATGAGCCAACATAGAATGCAATTTGTTTTTTTATATATTTATGAAATTATGCACGGGAGGCCAATGAGACCATTATGTGCATTATGCTTAGATTGTAACTGTGTTGCTGCCTAAAATAAGGGATCAAAAAGCGGACGTGTAAGGTTTACTGGCATAGGCCATAAATACGGACCTGCGGACAAGCAATGGTGCTCCGGACAGGTATTATCGGTTTGGTGCCTTAAGACATCTTGAAGAGCTCCTCCTCGTCTCGGTCTTCGAAGATATCTTCTTTGACCTCCCCCTATAATGCCTACTTTGAGAGTGCGACACTTTTAGGGCTCGGTCAAGGTCTTCTC